TTTAACAGTCAGATTGAAATAATTTTAAAAATCAAGCAGAAATCCTGGAGGTGAAAAATACAACGAATGACACGAAAAATGCAAAAGAGAGCATCAACACTGGAATTCACCAAACAGAAGAAAGAATCTTCAAACTTGAGGACAAGTCATTTGAAAATACATAGTCAGAGGAGAAAAAATAGGAAAGAATGAAAAGGCATGAAGAAAGCTTACAAAGTTTATAGGACAACATCAAAAGAGCAAATGTTTGAGTTATAGGAGTTAAAAAGGAGAAAAAATTAGAAAGGATATTTAGAAAAAATAGCAGAAAACTTTTCAATCCTAGAGAAAAATAAATGACTAGATACAGAAAGGTCAAAGGTCTCCAATTAGATTCCATCAAAACAAGACGAAAGGACATCAAACTGTCAAAAACCAAAGACAAACAGAAGATCCTGAAAGTAGCAAGAGTAAAGAAGCAAATAAAATATAAGGGAGTTACAATATGACTAGCAGCAGATTTCTCAGCAGAAACCTTACAGGCCAAGACAGTGAGATGCTATATTAAAAGTACTGAAGGAAAAACAAAAAAACAAAAAAACCTGCCAATCAAGATCCTGTACACAGCAAAACTGTCTTTCAGAAATAGAGGTGAGATACTTTCCCTGACAAAAGGTGTGTCAGCTATCTTTCAAGAAATGCTCAAGTGAGTTATTTAAGCTGGAAGAGAAGGATGCTAATGAGTAACACAAAAACATCTGAAAGTATAAAACTCACTGGTAAAAAGTATGGATATTGGGTGTTCTCACCACAGAAATGATAACTAAGGTAATACATATGTTAATTTGTGAGATTTAGTCAATCCACAATGTATACATAGTTTATAGCATCATACTGTACATGATAAATATAAAATTGTATCTGCTAATTAAAAATAAAAACTGTAAGTGTACATGTTATATTCATAAAATATTAAAATCATTATTTTGAAATTGTGTATTACATACGCTAAAATTTGCATTTTCAGAAGAATTTACTTCTGCTTCCTGCAATAGCAGATTAAGTTATTCCTGATGGACTCTCCCCAGAGAACAATATACAAGTTGGACAAAATATTTTTGTTGAGAACAAACAGATGACCAGAATTCAAGGATTGCAAATTTCAAGAGTAGGGGGAGGCACCCAGGGCTTCCTGACACATTTTCCTCAGTTTATTTGTTGATTCTAAGGAGGCAACTGAAAGGCAAGACACAGAGCAGAATGGAGTAGCTGAGAAGCCAGGAAGCTACATGGAGTTTTCAGTAGTCTCATGGGGCTAGAAAGATAAAAATCAGGTCTATCGTGCTAAAAGCATTCTTACAAAAGGACTTATTACATAACAACCCCTAAGAGCCCCTGATTATCTTCCAATTAGCAAATCCCATTAGTATGTTTACAAATAAACCTGGTTGAGGCAAAGAAATAATGACCTCAAGTGTCCTCACAGCAAACAGAGTGCAAGTTCCCACCTCCTGTAAAATCCTCCCCAGAAGGAAGTTTCTTATCTGTTAAATATACAATGTTTCACAGCCAACATCATATTTATGAAATGTTGAAAGCTTTCACTCTGAATTCAGGCATGATATAGAAATGTCTAGTCCTGACTAGTGCAATAATTTGAGAAATGGGATAAGAGAATAGACTGGAAAAAAAGAAATTTAAAATGCCATTATTATGACATACTTCTGTGGAAAATACAAGAGTTCATTCAGACATATTGTGGGAATTATTAATTAAATTTAGCAAAGTTTCTAGACAGAGGGCCAAAACATACAAAAGAATCAATTACCTTTGTTTATGTCAGCAATAATTAGAAAACAAACTTTATTTAAAGGATACCATTTACAATAGCCTCAAAGAACATCAAATTATTAGGAATAAATCTAGTGAAAAATATGCATGGCCTCTCCACAGAACTCCTACAAATTGTTCTTCAGAGAACTTAAAGAAAGCCTAAATAAATGCTCATGAGTGTGATTCTTCTCAAATGCATTTGTAGATTCAATACAATTCTAATCAAAATCATAGCAGCTAGGTTTATAGAAACATTCAAAATTTATTATATTTATTTACGAAAATGAAAAAGGCAAATAATACAATCTTGAGAATGAAGGACAAATTTGGAAGGCTTACACCTCAGCACATCTGGACACATCATAAAACAGCAGTTATTAAAACAGGGAGTGTTGGTTTGAGGATAGCAAAATATGTCAATAGAACAGAGTAGTCTGTTCTAGACCAGAAAGAGAAGAGATAGTCTTTTAAATACAAGGTCAGTTGAATATCCATACCAAAAAAATGCTATCTTGACTCCTGTTCACACCATACATAAAACTAGCAAGACTAGCTGGATTGTGGAGCTAAACAAAAAAGGCAAACAATAAAATTTCTATAAGATCAAATGGGAAATTACCATGTTTTGGGAGATGAGCAAATATTCCTTCCTTAGGACACAAAAAGCACTAATCATAAAAAAACATAAATTGGACTGCCTTAAAATTAACAACTTTTGTTGCGATCAAATGTGCCATTAAAAGAGTAACAAGGAAGTCATTGATCCAGAGTAGTGAGAGACCTCCCACAAATTAGCCAAAGGACAGACAACATCACAGGAGAATGGACAAAAGGAGTGGACAGACACTTTACAAAAGAGGCCGTGCTCAACATCATCACTCATCAGAAAAACGCACACTGAAACTGTAGTGAGGTGCTACTACACACTCGCCAGAACGCCTGACAACGAAGTGCTAACACCACCACCTGCTGTTGAGGACAGGGAGCACATGGAATCTAATATTCTACTGGTGGGAATATAAAGTAACCTAATCTCTTTAGAAAACTGTGTACTAATCTTGAACTTATGCTCACTCTAGGGCAGAGAAATTTCATTCCTAGATATATAGCAACCAGAAATACACCAAAAACAAAACCAAGCAAAAATTGTGCACAAGAATGTTCCTAGCATAATTATTAATAAGACCTAAAAACAAAAAAACAGCCCAAATACTAACCAACCACAGATGGTAAATAAACTGCAGCACATTCTCACAATGGAATACCCGAAGGATCAGAATGAGCAAACTCTGCTACCTGCCAACACCACCGATGAGTGTCATGAATATCGTGTGGGGTGAAACAAGACCGACACACAGCAAAATCACACGGTGCGCTTCCACTTATAAGAAGCTCAACGCCAGACACAGCTAAGCTATAGAACTAAAAGTCAGCATTTCCAGAAAGCGTACAGGGAATGGGGCTTCTAGGTGGTGAGAGTTTTGTGAAAATTCACTAGGGAAATATTTATAATTTCCTATATGTATGTTATACATCTACACAAATGTTTATTTAAAAATTTGAAGGCATCAAGGTTAAGCATCTAACTTAATATCGACAGTCTGGAAGAAGAGTCTAGTGGCCCTTTGTCCTATGCCTCTGCTCTACAGGTGGGACACTGAGGCACAGAGACCAAACAGTGTGTCTGAGGTTGACTCAGTGGCAGAACCAGGGCAAAGCGAGGTCACCAGCGTCTTCTAGCACATGGAACCTCTTTCGCCTTTTCCTCTCAGCATGAACTACTTGAGTTTTCTTTAGTTCCAGATGCCTTCGTAATGAAAAATGAGAAGTAGGAAATCCTAGAAATTGATAGAAAATGATTTCTTAAAGACACTTGCCAGCCTGTACCATCCTTTAAGGAGAAGACTAAAATAGGACTACCTCATGATTTGGTCAACTCTACCCCTAGGGAAGGATCCTGCGATGTGTGGTCTCCCTGTCTTTATAAGGGATAGCAGTGCCTGAGTATTATTTCCAGATTTAAGTTGTTCCTTGGAGAAGCAGTGATGTTATGACTGCCTGCTGATCATTACACGCTTACCAATGATAATATTAATGATTTATTTATTTATTTATTTCTCTTTCTTCTTTCATTTATTTATTTATTTATTTATTTATTTATTTATTTATTTATTTTGAGGTAGAATTTCACCTGTTGCCCAGGCTGGAGTGCTGTGGCATGATCTCTGCTCTCTGCAATCTCTGCCTCCTGGGTTCAAGTGATTCTCCTGCCTCAGCCTCCCAAGTAGCTGGAATTACAGGTGCGCGCCACCATGCCTGGCTAATTTTTGTATTTTTAGTAGAGACGGATTTCACCATGTTGGCCAGGAGGGCCTCGAACTCCTGACCTCAGGTGATCCACCCACCCTGGCCTCCCAAAGTGCTGGGATTACAGGCGTGAGCCACCGCGCCTGGTCAATATTAATGATTTCTAAGCACATGAATTCTCGTACCTCCAACCGGATCTACCTCAGGCATAAATCCTGTATCTTCCTCGTCTCCCTCCATGCACCCATGAAGAGCTCGTTTACCTCAACTACAGAAGCCGCCGTCTCCCAAAGAGTTGGCAGATGTCTCAGAGATCACTGTCAGCAGAGGACGTGACTCAGGAGTGCAGAGGTACAGGTGAGATTTGCATTTCAGGCCCTTTCCCTCAGCACACTACTGTTTAAGGTGTATGTTTAACTATACACTGGTTACTTTTGGTGAATGAGTAATAAGAAAATGAATTGGATGTTGTCTTCCACTTTCCTGTCTTGAGAAACTGTTCTGTTGATAGGTGGCCTCTGCTTCCATAAACGTGACTTCCAGCACAGTGTGCTGTGCCCATATGCTGCTTTCAGAAATGTCGTTTAGAATAAAAGGCCAATAAGGGTGGCATTTCTGAACTCTGTGACCAGCCCTGTGCTTGGGTGTGACTCCCTATTTCCAGCAGGGTCAGCTTGAGTGTTCTTGGCTGTGGAGGGACAGGAAATGATCAAAAGGTCCCCTACATTTTTCACCAGAGGCCAGCCCCATGCCCATCCTCCCAATTCAGACACAGTCCCGGGGGCCATAGGCTGCAGCCCTGACCATTGCCCCTGGGAGGGTCGGCGAAGGGCATCAGAGCCTTCCTGGGTCCACTTGTGCAGCTGTGCAGCTGGTCATCTCTCCACTAGGAGAGAAGAAGAAGGAGAGGTGAAGGGTGACTTAACCTAATTCATCAATTGAGTCAACAAAAGTACATGCAGTGCAAGTATGTACAGACATTTGCCATGTGCTGGAAATGCAGAGTTGAGTTACACATGGTCTTTGCTTTCTAAGGACCTCATGGGGAGGACAAGCAGGTGAACAAGTGCTTATTAAATATTAATCCTGGTGACTGGAATAAGCAGATTAATTCAGATCCTGCCTGAAGAAGCAGTGACCTCTGCTCCCCGTGTGCCAGCAGAGCTAGGCACAGGCAGAGGCTGGCTTGGCCGAGCCCAGGGTGTGCCCTGTTCTGTCTCTGTCCCTACACACTCAGCAGATCTGAGAGAAGCTCCCATGCTTGTCTCACGAGTCTCCAGCCTCCTGAAATGAGTCCTATTTCTCCTCATCTATCCCACCCAAATCCCCGAGAAGCAGACCTGCAAGAAGCTTGGCGGTCCCTTGCTGAGTTTGGTAACAGTGAGTAGAGTAGAGGAAGCTGAAGGCTCAGCAGCATTTCCAGAGCTGTGGGTAATAGGGTGGGTGGCAGCGAGGCTTTCCAGCACAGCCTTGTGTACGGCACAGCTCTTATCTCAGGCCTGCTTATGGCTGAGGCCTCTAACCCTCACCAAGACAAAATGTCTCTGTCTTAGATCATGAAAATATAACTACGACTTCACCAGCTGGACACGTCAGAATGAAGATGCCTGAGAAACGCATCCCTTACACACATAGGGTCTAGTAAGAGGAGTGAGCTGGTGCTGCGACCCCAAGGCTGAGCAGAAAACATTCTCAGCAGACGTGAAAAAGGATGGGTCTGCATCTGGCAGTGGGACAGGATCCTGAGTATGGTTGGCCAAGTCAAGTTACTGAATGTTTTGTCCAGACTGGTGAGTGGGGACAAAGTCCAGCTAATTATTTATGAGGGTCTGTGCCTGGCCTTATCCCAGATAAACAAGGGGCATTCCAGAGTTTAATGTAAGTCACATGGGGAAGGGTGGATCTTGGCAGTAAGCCTTTTCCTGGGGGACAAAAAGATAAGGGAGGGGACGGGGGACTTCTTAACCTTGAGGTTTCTAGGAGAGCAGAGCTCAGGGAAAGTGTAACAATGCCACTATGAATTGTTTCAAATTACTTTTATTCAAATGTGTCATACAAATTGTTTGAGATGGTACATTTAGTATAGTCTCATTATTGCTACATGATTAACATTAATCATCCTGCAAAGCAATTCAGCACGAAAACAGAAGCAACTTAACCAAGCTGTTTTCTCTAAGGACTGGACATTTAGACAAGGATTTAAACATCCTCCTCTTGACATTTTCTTTTGCTGAAAATGATGGTTTTCGGAAATACACGTTGCAGACTTATCTGAACTGTGGCAGCTATGCCTTTGCTTGGAGGCAGGTGATATGTTCATTTTGCCTACACGTGCTCAGTGTTGTCTAGAAGAGCACTGTGCCAGCTCCAGGGCAAGACGGGAGGAGAGAACACATGCCCTGCCTTCTGGTTGGGCCTTGATGGTGGAAGGGCGGTGAGAGTGAGCACTGACAAAGCAAATGGGGCCTCTCTGGCTGCAGATTGCAAGTTAAACATCATTCTCCAGTGCTCTAAAGCATGATGTTGATGCACTGCAAAGCAGCTGTGGAGCCTTGGACAGACAACATGCCTGGGGAAAGGTCAGTCTTCAAGAATTTGTCAAAAGGTCAGACCAGCCCAGACCAACTGTGCATAGGTCAAGGGAAGGGCCATGTGGGAGGGGGACAAAAGCCAATCACCTCCCACCCCGAGAGTCCCATCCCAGGCCAAAGACTGAGAGGCAGAAGTAGCACGATGGCAGAGCTGAGGCTGGTAAGACTTATAGGCAATGGAGGATGCAGCACCGGGCCACATTCCCTTAAAGCTTTCTGCACATTGCCTGCAGAAGCAAGCTGGGCAAAACACCAGGAAAGGATGAGGCGAAGAGAGCAAAACAAAGGAACAGCTTGAACCTAACTGGCTGTAATCTGGCTTTGTCACTAAAAGAATCCCTCAGGCATCTCAAACTCTCTTTATATGTAAGATAGAATCCGAAATGATGCATTAGTCCACACACAGCTTGTTTAAGGGCTCACCATACATAAGGCCCTCTGAGGAGTCCAGAAGCAGCACGTGTGGCCCTGGCCCCGGGGAGTGAAGGAAGCGGGAGAAAATGATGAAATATGGAATGCTTAATGAAAGCCCCTGGAGGCCAAAAGCCGTCTTCCGTTTCTTCTGTACACACCTCGGGAGGCTGAGTATTCGATTAGGCACTTAATTAGGAAGCTTGTTTTTAATTCATCCGCGGCAAAAAATGCCATCAGGGTAGACATTCTGCAAGGCTCCCCATTGGCTGCCTCTGCGATCCTGCTGCTTCTCTGCATAGCACATCTCGCCTCTTAGCACCCACAAGCTTGGGGAGGGAGAACCCTGGTGCCCTGGCTCACAGTGGCACTTTACCAAAAGGCATCGGCAGGGAAGCTGGCTGCCCGGTCACCCAGCATAGCTGCCAATTACTGGCAAGAGGAAATCCGAATGGCACGCGTCCCAGTCTGCACGGCCATGAGTCTGTACGGGCTGCACTGCCAGTGGCTGCAGAGACAAGCGAGAGGACAGAGACACTCTGCACACTCCTGAGAAAGGGGTGGGGACACGCTTTATTCCAGTCGCTTTCAGGCTGATGGGAGGAACATCAGCTACAGTCCAACAAAACAACACGCTCATCGTGGTCCCTCGTCCAGGCTTATTGAGCACCAGGGCAGAGAGCCGCCCGGAAGCCTTCTGGTGGAATTTTGCTCCTGCTCTCCTCTGTCTGCCCAGGAAGCTTATTCCAGAGTGTCAGCGACGCAACAGCACACCTCTGTCCATGTCATAGATGGTCTGTCCACGTATCAGGCCCAGAAACACAGTGGGGCCCAGGGAGGCCATGAATTAGTGAATTCAGCAACTAAACACCTGCTGCCCTTAGACCAGGAGCCCACCATCATAGGGCGAGTGGGTTTCAATCAAATATCCTTGCTTTTCAGGCACAGCTTATGTCTGGATAGCACACAGCAAATGCTTTCCATCAGCTTGTGCAGCTGGGGAAGCTGATGGCCCTTGACTCTCGGCAGTCTCCTTCACCAGCACTCCTGCCCCAAGGCCAGCTGGCTTCCCTCCCACAGCCAGGTCCTGAGCATGTGCCTTTCACCTTCACACCTGGCCACCGTGTCTCTGCTTTTGGCTGTCTACCAGCTGCTCCCTGGCCACAGATGCTTCCCTGTAACCCATATCCCCCCCAGGAAACCTCTCACTGATTTCCTACACTGCAGAGTCCATGAAGTAGTGTGAGAAAGACTGAAGGTCAGTTCGGGCAGTGCCCGCAGCTGGCCCAGACACACTGCAGCAACACCTGCCCCTCGATTTAGCGTCCTTAGCCCCAAAGACAGGCAGGAAACAGAGGCAAAGACAATCAACAACAATGACTAAGATCTGGGGTGTCAGCCCCTCTGCACCCTCAGCCTGGCTCTGTAAGACCTGGTGGGGCCAGCGGAGGGGGATGGTGGTCTTTTAAAAGTTGATAAATTCATTAAAATCAGGTGGGAAAAGAGCTGCTAAATTTAAAGCAAGCAAAAGCAGGATGGTGGGAACTTGACATTGACAATGAGGGCAGGCAGGGATGGAGAAAGCCAGAGGCTGGTCTGGATGGGGGAACCGTGGGCACGAGGTGGAGAAATGGAAGGAAAACCAGGGGTCAGGCCAGCAGGGCTGGTGATGGGGCAAGAAGCAGAGAAAAAGGATTTGCTCTTCACAAGTTGTGCTGTGGTTTTTGCATTGGCCCTTTGGGTTTCTCTGTCAAAATGCCAGTAAAAGATTTACATTCCATATTCAATTATTCTCAATTGCCGGATGAATTTTATTTGAATGTTGCTCTGTTGAGACAGGATTACCCGGACACCATGTATATGCAGCTGACACATCCAAACACAGACCCTCTGACCTCCTGCTGCTGGACTTATTATTGATTAGATAACATTAAAACTGTTCCTTGCCATTGATTAGGTAATGTCAACAAAAAATAAAGTTCTACCCCTCTCCACCCAACTGACTGATGGACCCCTCTCTTGGCCAAAGGCATTCCAAAGAAACCTGGAAAACTAATTCAGGCCATGAGGGGAAGCTGAGTCAGACATGTCTCATGATACCCTCCTCCCTTTGGAATTCAGGCACAGTTGACCAGAGATTCTGACAAAGCAGACCTTTTGTACCAGTAAGAGACCAAATTCCAACCTGACTCTAGTACAACATCACATGACAGCTAGCAGGCCCTAAAAGAACCTGAAGTATTTTACCACAAAATGGAGTCCCGATCCAGACCCCAAAAGAGGGTTCTTGGATCTCCCGCAAGAAAGAATTCAGGGCGAGTCCACAGTGCAAAGCAAAAGCAAGTTTATTAAGAAAGTAAAGTGGTGAAAGTGCAGCTACTCCATAGACAGAGTAGGGCATTTCTGAAAGTAGGAGGAAACGTGTCCACCGTAGGTACAATGCTCGTATGTGTACGTATATAGGATAAAAAAAGATACGGCGAGATGTGCTGTGCTGCAAGGGTTTGTGGTGAAGGATTAATTTTCTTAATTACCATATTTTGCAGGAATCAATATTATCTTTAAAGCAAAATTAGGAATCCCTTTATTCTCAAGATATTGGGATATCTGGACACTCCCAAGTCTGGATGTGTTTAGTAAACCTTCTCAATCTGTTCCCTTAACCTCTAGTGGCTAGGAATACCTAACTTTCTGGGAATGCAGACCAGCAAGTCCCAGCCTTATTTTCCTAGCCCTCACCCAAGATGTAGTTGCTCTGGTTTGAATACCTCTGACACTCTGACATATTTTGAAATGGCCCTGCAAAGCTTTCTCTTGTTGGGGGAAATTTATGTTGTGTAGGGAATCCACCTTCCCTTCCAGGCCTTTTCCTGATCCAGAAGAGAATTAACTAAGATTCTGGCACCTTTTAAAGGTCTGAATAGGAAACATTTGCCATCTATTGCCTCTAAGGGCAGCTACCTAAGAGATTTCACCTACATAATTAGAACCTTGGTGTCCACAACCCCAGGCACTCCTTTCAATTCATTCCAGGTCTTTAGATAATAACTCTTTCAACCAGTTGCCAATCAGAAAACCCTGAATCCATCTATGACTTGAAAGCCCCCTGCTTCAAGTTGTCCCACCTGTCTGGACCAAACCAATGTACACCTTACATGTATTGCTTGATGTCTGCTTGTAACTTCTTCTGCCCCCCTAAAATGTATAAAACCAAGCTCTAACCCAACCACCTTGGGCACATATTCTCAGGACCTCTTGAGACAGTGCTTCAGGCCTTGGTCACTCATATTTGGTTCAGAATAAACCTCTTTAAACATTTTACAGAGTTTCACTCCTTGTCGACATTAAAGTTAGAACTTTTTGGCTTGGCACAGTGGCTCACACATGTAATCCCAGCACTGTGGGAGGGCGAGGCAGGTGGATCATGAGGTCAGGAGTTCGAGACAAGCCTGGCCAACATGGTGAAACCCCATCTCTACTAAAAATACAAAAATTAACCAGGCATGGTGGTGTGTCCCTGTAATAGCTACTCAGGAGGCTGAAGCAGGAGAATTACTTGAACGTGGGAAGTGGAGGTTGCAGTGAGCCGAGATCATGCCACTGCACTCCAGCCTGGGCGACAGAGCAAGACTCTGTATCAATAAAATAAAATAAAATAAAATAGAAATTAGAACTTTTTATTCCCCTGAAACTAGCTAACTACAGAGAAAAACAATCTCTGTTCAGAAAACTGATGGAGACTTCCTCTTCTGCGGAACAACCCCAGCTGTGAGTCGCCTCCTCGGCGACTGGTTAACCCTCCCTGTAAAATTCCAAGATAACCCCCAGCCACGACACTGCTCTTCAGATCTGGGGTGTCCTCCTATGGCGACAACCTAAATAAAGTCAGTCTCCTCCCTCCTCCAACTTTGGCCTTTGATGCAGCAGTGGAGACAGCATCCCACTTCTAGGACAGTGGGATGTACTCCCTTCTCTCCCATATCCCCATCCATTTATCTAGCTGCTGCTTCCAGGCACTAACCTACAGTTCGGCAGAATCAGACCCTGGTTCCTCCCTCACTCATCCTGCTCATGCTACAGACCTCCTGGTTGTGACAAGAACCCTGACTCAAGATGTCTGTTCAGATGTTCCCTCCCAACCAACCTGTTTAAAAGGACTTGACTCCATTTTCCCCAAAACTTGTCACTCCTAAATGTATTAATTTCACTTACCGTCTCCTCCATTTGAAAATTTAACACCATCAGATCACTGCCCAGGAAACAGGCACACAGACAGACTCAGTGAGCACCTCCAGCCCCCCACCCCCTCCAACCATACAGTGAGGAGGGGACTCCAGCCCAGCCGCAGGCCAGTGCAGGTGGGGTATGGTCGTGAGAGTCACATGGGGCCAAGGACCCCTGCTGGGGCATGGTGACGTGGGAAGAACTGTGATTATATACAGCACAAAAAATGTCCTGCAGAAAATGTAGAAATGGGAAATGTGAGTAAGTGTTCAGTCGGTCTTCCTTATCCTGGACAAAGCTACTTTGAGAAAGTGGGAAGCTGCTGAAAATTGGCATTGTGGTGTACAGCAGCCAGCTCTGGGCATCATGTTCAGCCAACAGTTTCAAGACCAGACTAAAACTGCTGGTTTTAGATGCTGGGGAGCCAGTGTCAGGGTGACAAAGGCCATGCAGTGGACAGGCTGGCCTGGAACTGACTGAGGGGAACAGTGAGCTGTGTTCTCAGTGCGGAACCACCCAGACGTTAGCTTTTATGGAAAGAACCCATATAAGAATTAAATAGGGAGGTTACTTAAAACCTGTTTCTAAGTTGTACCTGTTGACCTAAAACTAACTCTCTCCAATTTGAAATTAAAGAAATAGTGCTATGCTTATCTTAAACCTAGTTTTAACATGTATTAAAAAAAAAAAAAAAAAAGTATTGTTTGATTACATGACTTCTTTCTCAACAGCAAATGAGGATTTTGGTCTAGAAAAGATGACATTTCCAGAAAGTTGTACTTCTGCCTGTTCCTCCCCACTCAGTACAATTATGAATCTTAGAAACTTGAGATGACCAAAGGAGAACTCTGAAATGTGGATGAGGAAGGTGAACTGGTTTGGAATCCAGGGTAGGAAGAACAATATAGTGCTGGGGCACCCACACCCTCCACTCAACAGAAGAAGGTGGCCCAGCTAGAATGTTTCCAGAACACAGACCAGATGGGCTCTCTCTTCCTTCAAGCTGAACATAAGTCCCACTTGCAATACCAGGTGAGCCCGGAAGAACCAACTAGGGACATCAATCTGAATCCCCACTGACAATAAGTGTTCCTCTTCCCAACAAGCCTGATGAATTCCTTCCTCAGCCCAGAGACACAGGCCAGGATGCACCTATGAGGAATATCCTGATCCCAAACCACCTGGGCTGGGAAATGCTAATGGTCGGCACTACTCCACAGTGCAGGGAGAACCTCAAAACAAATGAGCAAGTCAGAAGATCCCCTCCTCCTAGGGACACTAGGTGGCCTGACCTGGATATTTTCTCCACATCTGCAAGCAGCATCAGCAGGGAGCAGTGGAAGCATCGACACCAATGATAAAGCAAGCAGACCAAAATAGCATGGCATCAGCTCCCAAAACTAGACAGTCACTGGAGCTGCAGTGCACAAAAGTGCCAAACCTAAAAAGGGTAACTGCTTGCTAAAATACAACCTTTAAATATAATCCATAATCTCCTAATAGCCAGTTTTTCCAGTATGTAATTATAGATCATCTGTCACGCAATGAACCAGAAAATTAGAACTTGGATAAGAAAAGACAATCAGCTGATGCCAACACTAGGAGAAGTCAGTTGTACAAATTATATGACAAGGATTCTAAAGCCTATATTACAAAATGATTCAATAGGCAATGAATAAGCAATAAATAAATGAACCAAATGAAAACTAAACACAGAAAGCTACAATAATGATAAAAATAAAATGCTGAATGGGTTCATGAGTAGAGTGGAGATGACAGAGTATAGAATTACTGAACTTGAGGTCAGATCAATAAAATTCATCCAATACGAACACAGAGAGAAAACATTGAAAAAAAAAAAAAACAGAGCCTTAAAGACTGTAATCAACATTTGTATCACTGGAGTTCTAGAAGAAGAGAAAGAGAATGGGGCTGAAGGAGTATTTGGATAATTATTAACTGAAAACTTCCCAATTTTGGTAAAAGAAATCTAAAGTTCACAAAGCTGAGCAAACTTCAAAAACAATAAACTCAAAGAAATCCATACTAAGCCACAACATAATCAAATCCCTGAAATTAAATAAAAAGAAAGAAGAAATTCCTGAAAGCAGCAAGAGAGAAATGACAACTTCCCTATAGGGGAAAATCAATTTGAATGACAGTACATTCCTCATCAGAAACCATATGGGCACAGGGAAGTAACAGAGCATTTTTCAAGGGCCGAAAGAAACTGTCAACTAAGAATGCCATGTCCAGTAAGACTTCCTTCAAGAATGAAGGTGAAATGAAACTCTTCCAAAATGAAGAAAAACTGAAAGAAGTTGTTGCAAGTAGATCTAGCTTAGTGAATGAATGGCCAAATTTCTTCTCATGAGTTCTAACTGCCAGAATAAGGCAAAAAATATATATTAAAGGCATAAAGATTGAGAAGGCAGAAATGAAAATGTTCCTATTAGTAGATGACATAATGATCTACATAAAAAATACCAAGGAATTTTTTTTTAATTCTATAACTGATAAGTGAACTCAACAAGGCCATGGTATACCGACCGGATCTATACACACAAATCAATCACATTTCTACATGTTAATTATGCACATTTGGAAGTGAAATTTGAAACACAGTACCTTTTTCTTCAAAGAATATTAAATACTGAATTATAAATCTAATAAAACTTGTCCAGGTTATGTATGCTGAAAATTGTAAGATGTTGATGAAAGAAACCAGAAGAGACCTAAATAAATGGAGAGACATATCATATCCAAGGGATGGAAAGCTCAACATAGTAAAATTGACAATTCTGCCCAAATTCACTTGTAGGTTTAGTGTGATTTCTATCACATCAGGTCAAGTTTTTTTTTTAAATAGGCATAAGCAAGCTTATCCTAAAATTTATTTGCAAGCATAGGTGTTAGCAAAGACAATCTTGACCAAGAGTTAAGTGTGAAGAATCATGCTATCTCCCTATGATGCACAAGCCCATCCCTCTTTTCTCCACTTAAAGCCATCTAGTGACTGGACCTGGGTTAGTTGCCTCACAAACTGATGTGTATTTGTCTCAAGATTCATCCCTCAATACCCCTCATTTTCTCCAGGGCTCTTACAAGATACTAACGCATCCTGGATAGAGAAGTAGAAAGTCTTCAAGACAAATTAACCTGCCTATTGAAAAAGTTACAGAACTACACCCCTCTTTGGATTCCACTTAAGGAAATGGAATCTAAGTATATTACATCCCAGAGGATAAAACACAAGGCTTGAATGGGCCAAATTTCTGGACAGGCACACTCACCGGGAATTTGAGACTTAATGTGTTAGCTTGACCACTTGGAACAGGCGTTATTTAATATGCACAGTTGGTTAATATTGGGCATATAAAGAAAGGAGTCCAAAGGCTCAGATTTTTATGTGTCCCCTACTCAGCTGTTCCCTAGCATTCCCTATGAGAGAATCCAGTGGACACTTCCTGCATTGAAGCATTAATAAATGCAGTGTTGCGGGGGGGCCACCAGTGTCCTTAGAAGTCTCTGACATCTGTCCTTTGGAGACTGTTGCTGACAGTAGGAGAGGCAGTAATGGAATAAAGTTCTCTTTTCTCAGTAGGAATAACGGGATTCCAAGGTGGTGAAGACCAGGGGTGTGCTGAATTGTCATAGTCAAGGCAGGCGCCGTTACCACATTGTGCTTCAGAGGCCTCTGCCAAAAGGCAAGTGGATCACAGAGCTCAAAGCAATGGCTTCTATGGGAAGCTTGACATAGAAACCTGGAGAGAATCTGGACCTGGGGAGAAGCTTCAGTCATCATAAGAAGGATGAATGACACAAGCTGCTTCCCAGACCTGAGAGTGTTCCTAGCCTCACAGGTCATTGATTGAAGAGAGGTCATCCAGGTGCATTTGAGAAAGATCCTGCAACAGACCCACGGATGCATTTACTGCTCTTCCCACACCTTCCTCAGAGGGACCTGTGGCCATTTACCAGGTGACTTTTGCATTCCAGTAAGAAATATCTAGATAGTCCTAATGGTTTTAAATTTTCCCTGATTCTCAGAGACTCAAAACATTCTCTGGTCCTTAAGACAGAATAGAGGCTTATGTTGGCCAAGTGACAGGTGCATTCTTGTGCTAAGTCCGCATAATAATTGGTCCTGTGAAATGGTGGACCCCTCCCATGGTTATTCCCCTTCTCCAGAATGAATGCTGAGAGAGATCATGTTAAATAACCATCAGAATTCCCAAGTTTGTTTCCTATTACATGAGGAAGTTGCCCATCTCATACCAAGATGGTAACACAAAAGAAATACAACATCCTGATGGTAATTTTAGGAATGAGTGACTTGAAATTACCCTGCAAAGTGAGAAACAGTTGTACCAATCATAAAAAAAAAAAATTCTTGATGGTCAACTTTTAATTTTATAGGCAGCATATAACATATTGGATTTGCTGCTCTAACCCATTAGCAGGTAACCACAAGGTTTGAGGGGGACCAGAGCAAGCAAGTGCAGCTCCCAGGTCCAGGTTGCCATGCTGGGTGCCCTGCCACTTGGGCCTTGTGAAATAGCACAGCACAGCTGCAGGCATCCCCAGGGCAGTCACAGACACTGTAGGGAGATGCTGGCAAGCCTTGAGGGGAGAGTCGGAGCGCAAACCTCAAGATTTGAATGAAGTCCCTGTCTTCCCGTTCTGACTAGTGAACTAGTCTTCTCTAGAAAAGCAGCTCCAGGCTGCCACTGGGCCTTGGTGCAGGTTGAAGATCTGATTGTGGAAACAGAGTGACTGCAGAACTTGGGCTGTGCATCACAAGCCAAGGGCTATCTGATCCACATAACCGTCCCGTCGGATGGGCACAGTGATCTTCCCATGTTCCATTTGTTGCATTTGCAACAAATCCAATGTTGCATTTGCAAGACTGGGCCCCAGCGGATCTGGAAGGCACACATGCACTGCAGGAGGAAGTGGCTCAGATTCCCATGGACTCTGCTGCTGTCACATTGCCTGCGTGGGGCCGTATGTCAAAGGTAAGGCACAGCTCCTCATGCAAGCTCAGGGAGGATCAGATCCTCGTCTGCAGCACACACCATCTAGATTTTCACGGTGAATTCAGACTGTACAATGGTGTCCTTGCAGTCCCTATAACCTTTAGGACTTTATGCACGTGACGTCAGACAGACTCTAGCAAGGACAACAGCCTGTGGCAGTCCAACGTTTATAGCAAAGGCGCAGCTGCTTCCTTCGAGGTTGTCTTTTTTCCATCATAATGACAGGATTTAATAAGCACTGGATTGTTCACCTAATAATTCTGGAGACAATGTCAGGAGGGAGTGTGGGCAAGCTCGTGTGGACTCTTGGGTGGAAAAGCTCATGGCACTTTTAGTGTCTCCTTTCTTCAGAAGTGGACTTTTCATCTGCTGAGGAGCAAAACAGTACATAAAGCTGAGTATCTTCCATCTGCTCCTCCTGCCCCACTCCCATTCCTGGACAGCATCAGCAGTGCTTCCTGTCCCCTGGCTTCCAGCTAGTTCAGTCCTTAGACAGAGGGAAGCCACAGGATGAAAGGCATAAACTCAGGATGATTCACACGGCCCACCTCTCGCCCCCGGGACCCCGCCCTGGCTGCCAAGTGTCTCATGCTGGCACAGCCCCAGCAGAAGACCACGGCTCCCGTCCAGTCCCTCTGGACATGGCTCCCTGCACCTCCAGGTCCTGGTCACTGGCCCCTCCCCCTCAGAAACCCACAGCTGCCTCCTCTCACGGACCCTAAAGGATTGCACTATCCCTGGCTACAGTCACTTGCACTTACCCAGTGTGGGCAGCCACCGGTTTCCAGCCAGTCCTCTGGCTGCTGTGCTAGGGAAATGGAATCAAAGAGCCAGGCAGTGCCGAGAGCCTGTCTGATGCTTGAAATCTTCACTTAAAAATAAAACCAGCCATCCCTGTGGGATGACTCGCCTCAGAAACATTGAGGGGCAGTAAAGGTAGCATAGGGACAGTTTGTTGGTTGACTTTTAAATTTTAGAGCATAAACAGCTAAGAGGGAGTTGACAGGGGAAGTTAAAATGTACGGGGCCAATGAACAAGAGGTTCCAGCGGGGCAAGGTTTGTTTTAGAGGGTAACCTGGGGTAAATGACTGGAAGTGTTGGAGTGTCAGAGAAAGACCACAGAGATGAAGGACCTAGGCAGGTCCTGGGGACCCAGGATGGGTGTAACACAGAGGGGAGTGGGGGAAGGTGGTTAGGGCAGAGAAATCAGAACTGGGGGGCATGAATAGGAACCTCAGGGGAGGCTGCGGGTATGAGCAAGAGGGAGAAATCAGCCCAGAGCTAATGGTTTTTAAGAATGAGAAGGGCTGGGCCGGGCGCGGTGGCTCATGCCTGTAATTCCAGCACTTTGGGAGGCCAAGGTAGGTGGATCACGAGGTCAGGAGATCAAGACCATCCTGGCTAACACAGTGAAACCCCATCTCTACTAAAAACACACACACACACAAAAATTAGCCGGGCGTGGTGGCAGACGCCTGTAGTGCCAGCTACTCGGGAGGCTGAGGCAGGAGAATGGTGTGAACCCGGGAGGCGGAGCTTGCAGTAAACTGAGATAGCACCACTGCACTCCAGCCTGGGTGACAGAGCAAGACTCCGTCTCAAGAATGAGAAGGGATGACTGAAGAGTAGAGAGAGGCGCCAATGAGGAGAGGCAGCGGGTGGGAGACGGGGCCTGAGCGTTGTTAAGGGATGACATGTGAAAGGATGAAAGAGCAGACATGAGCTGAGCTGGAAGGAGCTGGACACGAGGGAGATAGTGCTGCCCCCAGGCATCCTGATGTGGGCTAGAAGAGGAAACGATGCTTTTCAGTGACCAGCTCAGGCACATCCAGGTCCAGTGAGACCAAGCAAAGTACAGGCAGTGCGGGAGCAGCGGGAAGAACCCTTTCCTAGACAGACTGTGGCAGGGGCTCCTCCGGGACATCCAGTCAGCTGCACGTGTCTGCAGGCTTCTGGGTGATGTTGTCCAATACCATATTTTACAATAAAATAGGGTTGCACATCGGCTTTGCTGGCAAGGAATTCAAAAGGCATATTATCATAAACACTCCCAACCTTTCAGGGAGGAACTAGGTTGCCATTCTACAATATAGACTCTGAACAGTAGACAGGGACACCCACCCTGAGGGTGCCCGTGGCAGAAATGGGACCAGAAAGGTCTCCTGCTTTGCAGTTCTTAGTGTCCTGAGCAGCTTGGACCTTTTGAAGTCAGACGCTTGACACACAATCACTTCGGAGCAGTGTCCCCAGACATTTTTATTCCAAGGTATGCACAGAAGATCGGAAACTGAAGAAGGGCTTCTTCCTCTGGGGCATAACCATGATACTGATGAGGCAGAGCAGAGGACACCTCGGAGGAAGCACAGGGCTCCCCCTTGATCTTTGTTCTCATTACCTTTGCCTTTCAGGAATGCTGCACAAAAGAACTGCATTTAATAAACACTGACTGAGCCACAGTGTTCTGCAGGGAGAGCAGGGCTGAGCGTATCCACTGTACACCTGCATAATTGATGAAAATAGCATGCACCACTTGCAAAATGGAAAATCATTACTCTTGGCTGTTAAATGTGTAAAATATCCCTTAAAAGATATCTATGATCTTCGGCAAGTCAAATTTCTGGACTTTTAATTGATAACTTTAAAACTGCAGAGAAAAACATAAATGGATAAAATGCAATTTTACATAATGTAAACTACTCCAAAGCCTTTTATCAAGGAACAGTTTAATATATAAAATGTTTCCTTATAAGCAGTAAACCTTTTCCCAGAAAGTCTATATTCAGAGAGCATACAATTTGAGTGCTGGTTATTTTAACATGAAAAGTGATTACAAGAAAAAACAAACTGTGTTTAGCCTCAAGAGAATTGACAATTAAACAGCACAAGCAATTTTGGGTGCATGTGTGTCTTTTCCTATGTATAGCAGGAAGGGTTTTGAAACATACGTATTTTTCTGGAGGAGAATCTCGAGTAAGTTATCTCGCGTTTTCTACATTTTGTCCTTGGGGAGAAAGGACACAGAGAGGAGGCCACGGTGTTTCAGCATTCACTGGAATTAGTGTTAGTGTCAAGGTCTATTCCACTGTGTCTCCATAGCATCTCCAGGGTAAGCACCTTTTCTTCTCCAAACAGTGGTGTCAGGATAGTTTTATGACTGATGGGTTGTGATGGATGAAGTTTCCTTTAGTTTTCGAGTGACAGATGGATGTCTATTAATTCCATCCCACCACCACATGAGCCACAAGAAGATAACACATCCCAACGATGCAGGACACAATCATCATTGGGAAGCCCAACCTGAAATACAAAGAGAAATGAGTTATGGCATCCGAAATCTGGACAGCCTCATGAGATATGGACTCGTAGCTCATGGGAACATGGCCTTAGCACCTTTGCATTTTCACAACGTTCACTACCTTTTATTTCTATAAATCAGAAAGTTGTAGACTAAATTATGTGAATGCATGCTGCTATTAGACATCTTGCATTGTGTGCAATTTTATTTGAGACCTGCTTAAGGTTTTCTCAAAATTTTAATGGCTATATGGAGCCTCTGTTTGTTCATCTATAATGTTAGACTGTTGGTCTTTCAATGCCATGTGCTGGGCCACCATTTAAATCTCTGGATGATTCCTCTGCTTGTGTCATCTTCCAACTTTTCTTCTCTGGAGATTTCCCAGAGATCCCACTTTCCCACAGGCTCCTGAAGTCCCTCACACTTAAGGCCAAGGAGAGCTGGAGAAGTAGTGTTGGAAAGTAAGGCCAACTGTTGTCTAAGGAAAGGAATAGGGAAGAAGAAGTTTTTTTTTTTTGTTTTGTTTTGTTGTTTTTTTTTTTTTAATTTATTTATTATTATTATACTTTAAGTTGTAGGGTACATGTGCATAACGTGCAGGTTTGTTACATATGTATACTTGTGCCATGTTGCTGTGCTGCACCCATCAACTCGTCATTTACATCAGGTATAACTCCCAATGCAATCCCTCCCCCCTCCCCCCTCCCCATGATAGGCCCCGGTGTGTGATGTTCCCCTTCCTGAGTCCGAGTGATCTCATTGTTCAGTTCCCACCTATGAGTGAGAACATGCGGTGTTTGGTTTTCTGTTCTTGTGATAGTTTGCTAAGAATGATGGATTCCAGCTGCATCCCAAGTCCCTACAAAGGACTCAAACTCATCCTTTTTTATGGCTGCATAGTATTCCATGGTGTATATGTGCCACATTTCTTAATCCAATCTGTCACTGATGGACATTTGGGTTGATTCCAAGTCTTTGCTATTGTGAATAGTGCTGCAATAAACATACGTGTGCATGTGTCTTTATAGCAGCATAATTTATAATCCTTTGGGTATATCCCCAGTAATGGGATGGCTGGTCATATGGTACATCTAGTTCTAGATCCTTGAGGAATCGCCATACTGTTTTCCATAATGGTTGAACTAGTTTACAATCCCACCAACAGTGTAAAAGTGTTCCTATTTCTCCACATCCTCTCCAGCACCTGTTGTTTCCTGACTTTTTAATGATCGCCATTCTAACTGGTGTGAGATGGTATCTCATTGTGGTTTTGATTTGCATTTCTCTGATGGCCAGTGATGATGAGCATTTTTTCATGTGTCTGTTGGCTGTATGAATGTCTTCTTTTGAGAAATGTCCGTTCATATCCTTTGCCCACTTTTTGATGGGGTTGTTTGTTTTTTTCTTGTAAATTTGTTTGAGTTCTTTGTAGGTTCTGGATATTAGCCCTTTGTCAGATGAGTAGATTGCAAAAATTTTCTCCCATTCTGTAGGTTGCCTGTTCACTCTGATGGTAGTGTCTTTTGCTGTGCAGAAGCTCTTTAGTTTAATGAGATCCCATTTGTCAATTTTGGCTTTTGCTGCCATTGCTTTTGGTGTTTTAGACATGAAATCTTTGCCCATGCCTATGTCCTGAATGGTACTACCTAGGTTTTCCTCTAGGATTTTTATGGTATTAGGTCTAACATTTAAGTCTCTAATCCATCTTGAATTAATTTTCGTATAAGGAGTAAGGAAAGGATCCAGTTTCAGCTTTCTACTTATGGCTAGCCAATTTTCCCAGCACCATTTATTAAATAGGGAATCCTTTCCCCATTTCTTGTTTCTCTCAGGTTTGTCAAAGATCAGATGGCTGTAGATGTGTGGTATTTTTTCTGAGGACTCTGTTCTGTTCCATTGGTCTATATCTCTGTTTTGGTACCAGTACCATGCTGTTTTGGTTACTGTAGCCTTGTAGTATAGTTTGAAGTCAGGTAGCGTGATGCCTCCAGCTTTGTTCTTTTGACTTAGGATTGTCTTGGAGATGCGGGCTCTTTTTTGGTTCCATATGAACTTTAAAGCAGTTTTTTCCAATTCTGTGAAGAAACTCATTGGTAGCTTGATGGGGATGGCATTGAATCTATAAATTACCTTGGGCAGTATGGCCATTTTCACAATATTGATTCTTCCTATCCATGAGCATGGTATGTTCTTCCATTTGTTTGTGTCCTCTTTGATTTCACTGAGCAGTGGTTTGTAGTTCTCCTTGAAGAGGTCCTTTACATCCCTTGTAAGTTGGATTCCTAGGTATTTGATTCTCTTTGAAGCAATTGTGAATGGAAGTTCATTCCTGATTTGGCTCTCTGTTTGTCTGTTACTGGTGTATAAGAATGCTTGTGATTTTTGCACATTAATTTTGTATCCTGAGACTTTGCTGAAGTTGCTTATCAGCTTAAGGAGATTTTGGGCTGAGACAATAGGGTTTTCTAAATATACAATCATGTCATCTACAAACAGGGACAATTTGATTTCTTCTTTTCCTAACTGAATACCCTTTCTTTCTTTCTCTTCCCTAATTGCCCTAGCCAGAACTTCCAACACTATGTTGAATAGGAGTGGTGAGAGAGGGCATCCCTGTCTTGTGCCAGTTTTCAAAGGGAATTTTTCCAGTTTTTGCCCATTCAGTATGATATTGGCTGTGGGTTTGTCATAAATAGCTCTTATTATTTTGAGGTACGTTCCATCAATACCGAATTTATTGAGCGTTTTTAGCGTGAAGGGCTGTTGAATTTTGTCAAAAGCCTTTTCTGCATCTATTGAGATAATCATGTGGTTCTTGTCTTTGGTTCTGTTTATATGCTGGATTATGTTTATTGATTTGCGAATGTTGAACCAGCCTTGCATCCCAGGGATGAAGCCCACTTGATCATGGTGGATAAGCTTTTTGATGTGTTGCTGAATCCGGTTTGCCAGTATTTTATTGAGGATTTTTGCATCGATGTTCATCAGGGATATTGGTCTAAAATTCTCTTTTTTTGTTGTGTCTCTGCCAGGCTTTGGTATCAGGATGATGTTGGCCTCATAAAATGAGTTAGGGAGGATTCCCTCTTTTTCTATTGATTGGAATAGTTTCAGAAGGAATGGTACCAGCTCCTCCTTGTACCTCTGGTAGAATTCAGCTGTGAATCCATCTGGTCCTGGACTTTTTTTGGTTGGTAGGCTATTAATTATTGCCTCAATTTCAGAGCCTGCTATTGGTCTATTCAGGGATTCAACTTCTTCCTGGTTTAGTCTTGGAAGAGTGTAAGTGTTCAGGAAATTATCCATTTCTTCTAGATTTTCCAGTTTATTTGCGTAGAGGTGTTTCTAGTATTCTCTGATGATAGTTTGTATTTCTGTGGGGTCGGTGGTGATATCCCCTTTATCATTTTTAATTGCGTCGATTTGATTCTTCTCTCTTTTCTTCTTTATTAGTCTTGCTAGTGGTCTGTCAATTTTGTTGATCTTTTCAAAAAACCAACTCCTGGATTCATTGATTTCTTGGAGGGTTTTTTGTGTCTCTATCTCCTTCAGTTCTGCTCTGATCTTAGTTTTTTCTTGCCTTCTGCTAGCTTTCGAATGTGTTTGCTCTTGCTTCTCTAGTTCTTTTAATTGTGATGTTAGAGTGTCAATTTTAGATCTTTCCTGCTTTCTCTTGTGGGCATTTAGTGCTATAAATTTCCCTCTACACACTGCTTTAAATGTGTCCCAGAGATTCTGGTATGTTGTATCTTTGTTCTCATTGGTTTCAAAGAACATCTTTATTTCTGCCTTCATTTCGTTATGTACCCAGTAGTCATTCAGGAGCAGGTTGTTCAGTTTCCATGTAGTTGAGCGGTTTTGATTGAGTTTCTTAGTCCTGAGTTCTAGTTTGATTGCACTGTGGTCTGAGAGACAGTTTGTTATAATTTCTGTTCTTGTACATTTGCTGAGGAGTGCTTTACTTCCAACTATATGGTCAATTTTGGAGTAAGTACGATGTGGTGCTGAGAAGAATGTATATTCTGTTGATTTGGGGTGGAGAGTTCTATAGATGTCTATTAGGTCTGCTTGCTGCAGAGATGAGTTCAATTCCTGGATATCCTTGTTAACTTTCTGTCTCGTTGATCTGTCTAATGTTGACAGTGGAGTGTTGAAGTCTCCCATTATTATTGTATGGGAGTCTAAGTCTCTTTGTAAGTCTCTAAGGACTTGCTTTATGAATCTAGGTGCTCCTGTATTGGGTGCATATATATTTAGGATAGTTAGCTCTTCCTGTTGAATTGATCCCTTTACCATTATATAATGGCCTTCTTTGTCTCTTTTGATCTTTGATGGTTTAAAGTCTGTTTTATCAGAGACTAGTATTGCAACCCCCGCTTTTTTTTGTTCTCCATTTGCTTGGTAAATCTTCCTCCATCCCTTTATTTTGAGCCTATGTATGTCTCTGCGTGTGAGATGGGTCTCCTGAATACAGCAGACTGATGGGTCTTGACTCTTTATCCAGTTTGCCAATCTGTGTCTTTTAATTGGAGCATTTAGTCCATTTACATTTAAGGTTAAGATTGTTATGTGTGAACTTGATCCTGCCATTATGATATTAACTGGTTATTTTGCTCGTTAGTTGATGCAGTTTCTTCCTAACCTTGATGGTCTTTACATTTTGGCATGTTTTTGCAATGGCTGGTACCGGTTGTTCCTTTCCATGTTGAGTGCTTCCTTCAGGGTCTCTTGTAAAGCAGGCCTAGTGGTGACAAAATCTCTAAGCATTTGCTTATCTGTAAAGGATTTTATTTCTCCTTCACTTATGAAACTTAGTTTGGCTGGATATGAAATTCTGGGTTTAAAATTCTTTTCTTTAAGAATGTTGAATATTGGCCCCCACTCTCTTCTGGCTTGGAGAGTTTCTGCCGAGAGATCTGCTGTTAGTCTGATGGGCTTCCCTTTGTGGGTAACCCGACCTTTCTCTCTGGCTGCCCTTAAGATTTTTTCCTTCATTTCAACT